ACTCTCATTAGCTGTCACAAATCATAACTAATATCACAATTTTTCTTCTCCCTCTTCCATGCTGACTCCAAACAACCAAAACCCATCCTTTTCTTTTCTTATTTTTTCATCGTGATCTCCGTGATGGCCGGGGACGTTAGGTCATGGTTCGGGTGAAGTTTGCAAGGAATCAATCAAGGCAGCTCAAATTTCTTTTTCTCTTCTTCCTTCTTTTCAATTTTTTGCTTCTTTTTTTCTTTTAGATGTTATTGTTTGTGGCAATGATATACCACCAAGTAGAATGTTAAAGTCACTAAAAAATATAAAATACTATTTTTAAAAATATTAATAATAGTTGATATTTATTAATTAATAAATTAAAATTAATTAACAAACTGCACTTGCGGCTTCGGTTGCGTTGGAAGTGCACCATCCCCTTGGCGTCTATGTCAAGGTTCTAGCTGCCAGTGCTGCAGCAATATTATACTTACTCCCTTATCCCCCAATTTCTCACTGATAAAAAAAAAAAAATTAACAAACTATTTTTTTCAAAACATAATTAAAAAAAAAAAAAATTGATAGATTTCGCACTTCTTAAGAGGTAATAACCACACCACCCTTTGCCTTTAAGTTTTTCACTTCCCTATATGATATTTTTACTAAAGAACAAAGTAGGAAATCTTGTGCTGTGGCTTTTGAAAACGGGGATAAGCTGAAGTTTTGTTGTTTCGGTTAATATTGCAACCGACTAGAAAAAAACAGAAAGAAAAATTAACCGAAACGTGAAAAACTGCTGATTTCTGGTTCGATAAACTGAGTTGAGTTTTTTTTAACCAATATCTCAGTTAACCGGAAAGTCGGTTTTGGTCTTGACCGAAACCGCCCGAATTTCACCCCACTTTTTGTTTTTTTTTTATGAAAAAAGGAAAATCCTCTAATTTCCTCCTTTAAAGTCCAATTCAAGTCATGATATGGATTTGGGTCTTGGTCCAAAGTCTAGAATTCCTACAAATGAATTGGGCCAACTTATCAGTTCTGGACTTTTTGTCTGCTTAACCAGGTCTCACCCAATAGGCTGTTTGTCGTTGTCCTATAACATTGGGCTGAGACCCATTGTGGAGGCTGATCTGATGGGTTTTTGACCTTTCCGGGGTTGGATCATGGATGATGTGAATGCTATGGGCTTTGGCTCCATTCATTACAAAATGAAAAAATAAATTCTTGGGTAAACGAAGTCAACGCAGAAAAGCCAACTAGTCATGACTAGAATAAAAGTGAGCATGTGATGAGCATGAAATGGTGACCTTTTGTTAGGTGATTACATGTGCAACATGTGAATTCGTTAGACCACAGCAATAAACATGTTTTCTCTTGGGCCTAGGCTATATTATGAAGTCTTAATTAGTTCATCATGAATTTTCGAAATTTGGCTCAAATGGTTCATTTTTAATTAGACTATAGATATAAAATTAATTTAATAGTGAAAATTTTATTTAGGATGCCATACTTTTTTTTTTTGGATAAGGATAATGGTTAATAAGTTAGTTTTATTAGTTGTTAGCAATTGGGGATTCAATCTCCAAATTTGGTGAACGTCTCACCTCCCTCAATGAGGCGCGCGGCCCATCAAGCCGCTTGGTAGAGTTCTTTAGGATGCCATACTTAAAAATATAAACCAAATGGATTCCAGGGCAGTCCCACCTCCAACTAAATTTTTGTAAATCATTTCAACATATTGTTTTTGGACCACTTAAGAGTAATGAAGTAGAGACTTCATGAGAGCTACATTGAGCTTGGCTTAACAACTTAGGACTATTCTACATGGTCAAGATGCTACAAAGAGAAAAAGGGCAATCATGGTCGTATAAAGGGACTAATTTCCCTTATATAAACTTAATTATGTCTCTTTTGGACTAAAAAATAATGATGCTATCATTACAATAAAAAGGCTTTTCCAGAGAAAACAACCACTCACACATATTCAAAGTGGAACTCATATTGGACACTTGATACAATTGCTGCTGAAGTAAAAGATGTTACTCTTAAAATGTAGTCAAAAGATGATAGTAGTTCTGCTTTAACGGGACAAAAATAGCAAGCTTAATATGCTATATGGACAACAAAATCATCTCTTTTTCAAAGAGAGGGTTTAGTAAAGATGACCATAATATCAAAAGTGAATACTTAATATTGAGAGAATAAAGGCAAGCCCCATCAAAATAAACCAAGTTTGAATTTAATTTCTCTACTTGAATCTATTTATATATAAAGAGATCAAAAATTTTGTATAAAATAAACACAATAATGTCAATCAATCCACTTGATAAATTTTTTTTTTTTTTTTTATGATATTGATAAAGTTTTTTGATCATTATCTGAGGCCTTTAATAAAACTTGAGGAGTGAAGAAGAAGAAGGATTCATGTTATAAAGACCAATCATAGGGAGAAAAAAGGGCCAAAGAACATAATATATTGCTTTAGCTGTAATTGTAATGACATAAACAACTGGGGGGACTTTCTCCTTAACTAGCTTGGAACTACATCCACATGTTACCACATGACAGTTTCAAACTGTCAGTGCTGGATCCGGGTCCAGGGCATCATGCCTCTCTCCATGTCTAATATTTTTTCATGGGCCAATATGTTAGAAGTGATGTGAAACTTTCTCCCCAACTATGAAGCTTTAATGGAAGCTAGCTTCTTGATGACCTGTAAAATCATTATTAGAGTCATGTTCTTTTCCACATGCTCCACCTGTAGCAAACCCCCTACCCTTTTATGAATGTCTTAATGTTGAGATTTTGGCTCAAGAATAGTAGTTGGAATAATGTTGCTCCCTCTTTAATCATTATATCCCAAGTACAGAAAGAAAATCTTAACAGAAGGCTATTATATTATGCTTCTAGCTACTGCCATATAATAATTTTAAAATTAGAATTTAAAACTGTTGCATTTGAAAATCTAGCACTCAAGTGGTTGTATTTTTTTACCTTCACCATCATTTTTACACCCATTTTTTAAATTTCCCTTACAAAAGCTTGACAACTGTACTTGCTAGTGCAACTTACAATCCACTTTAGGGGGAAAGATTATTGAATTTTGCATTTATTTTCAATCATGATGATTAATTACTTGGAACTATTGAGTTCTTGCCCACGTGGGAGTGATGGAAACGCTTTAATTAATGGTTGGTATGGGGTTTCTGTATTGAGTTGAACAATAAGCATTACAGGATGAGCAGGGACAGCAACAGTTTATCAGCTTTCAATAATAGCATAGCTTCCAAGAAATTGTTTAGGCAAAATATTGTTGAATTCTTGGTAATAGGGATTGACAAGATCTATCCTATATATAAGTATGACCTATCATCTTGTTGTATTTGATTAATTAACTACTAAAATTTCTGGTTTGGTTTAGTATTACATCACCCTATATTTTGACAAGGTAAGCACTTTTTCTTTTTCTTTTTCCTCCTTTTTTTTCCCCTCTAATGTGAAGATTACACAACTCATAAACGGAATGAAAAGTTCAAACCTTAGATTTCTCAAGTTATCAAGTTATTTATGTTTCAAAGCATAATTCTGTGTTAATCAAAGTTTCAAATTTGACACAAAAGTTAGCAATTTTGAGATCTAATGATAACTTGCCCTCTTGATGGGATTTTTAAATTTAGTCCAAAATTATATCTCAATCAATAAAAGTACATGTAGTTTTGAATGCCTTGATTTAAGTGCATTGAATTCTTGACATTTATCAGAATTTCATCTGTTATAATTATAGTCAAATTATCCACATTTCTCCATATATCCTCATGTTCAAAGAAAAAAAAAAAACCTTGGTCAATAAAAAAAGTTAAATATAAAATTATTTTTTGGTATCAAGATGAAGATTCAAATTCATCACTCATGAAATAATTAATATAGGTTTTATTATTTTTATAAATTAAATTATTAATTCTCTTTTTTTGTTTCTTACCTTTTTAAAAATTATGTTAAATTTTGAGATATATTTGAATCTAAAACTTTTCAAAATGTTAATTGTAATATTTCTAGGTTATTGGATCAAAGCAAATGGCATGATTCATGTTCTCCCCATTGGCATGATTCATTATTCACCACATATTTTTCTTTGTGGGATCTCCTAAAACTCAATTCAAAATCAGAACTTTCAATTTACCATAATTTCAAATTTCCCTCAATTATTTTGTTTCAGAGGGGGGGACACCCAAAAGAAACATAGCACAAGGTTTAAACTTTAAAGAAGTGAAAAGTACTTATGCCACGCAGCCAGCACCTGTTTGTACAGAGGCGTTTACTGCTTTTTGGCTGGGTAAATATTCGGTCATTGAACAGAGAAGGATTAAGGAAAACACAGGTAAACGTACAACGAAGTAAAGACAACCCCATAAAAAATGTTCGTTAGACGGTCGGTTGGGTTATGTATTTTTATATTTTCTCTTAAATATATGTATAAAAATGTATTATATATTCATCAATTAAGTTGTTGGGTCTTCGCCTCTTGGGTCTTCTCCAATTTTCTACGAAAGAACCATTTTTTCTTCCCTCAAATTCCTACCAAAGAGGGAATCTCAAACCCATATGAAAAAGACACATTTCTTCGCAGAGGTGATGTTTTATTGAGATTGTTAGAGAGATAAAAGAGAAGAAATTGAATAATTTCAGCTCTTTCTCTGCATCTGGTGTTGATTTTGGAAGGAAAGGTGGGTTTTTGGATCTGAAAGGTGGCTCATTTGGCTGGATTGACTTGGATCTTGAAATGGGTTTTGCTTTAATTTAGCTTTGGATTGGATTAGAGAGATAGCAAGAAGAGCGAAAAAATGAGTTGGAAGGGTAAAGGGTTTGAGCCAGCTCCAAAGGGTGTTGTGTCAAGGAAATGGACTCTTCTGCTTTGTATTGGGTGCTTCTGTGCCGGGATGCTCTTCTCTGATAGGTAATTTCTCTAATTTGCAGCTTCTTCTCCTCTAATTTTTTTTGTATAGATTTGGCTGTAGCTCAATTGGGGATTGCATGATGTCAGCAACCATGAATTTAAGAAATTTATAGGTTTCTTGATATAGGAGATTGATTTAGAATTGGTCAAGTAATAAACTTCTGCTTTGTCGGTTCGGCAGTTTGCTTCTGATTTCATCAAAAAACTTTCTTCTTCTTTTTTTATTTTCTTATTTTTTATTTGATTACGGCTTATGTGGGCAATCCAATGAATTACTGGTTTGGGATTTTGATGTGCAATTGGTCGGTTTCATGGGTTTTTGTTCATATGATATTAATATTTTTTTTTTTGTTTTCCTTGTTAATATCCCTGGTTGTTTGATGGTACAGGTAGATCTGAATTGTGAACTTCACATTAATGGTTCGAGTTTGAATTTTAGTAATTATTAAGTGGTCCGTGGTGCTTGTATTGGGTTTTTATGTAGGGTGTAATCTGCTCAGATCTATTCTGGCTCTTGCAATCTGCTTTTTTTTTCTGCAGAGTTGATGCATGCTTGCCTACCCTGATTACAGTGTTTAGTACACTTGTGTTGAAGACCCTTCCATAGTTTCTATTGCCCCTCTCTCCCTTTCATCTACTTCTTTGAGTTTCAAGATCTAACGAAAATGATATTTCTGTTAGGCTGCTGATCCTTTTGATATGTCCTTTATTCATGCTCTTACTGGCTTAGGTTGGGTTAAGCCTTTTGCTTTCAGTCATGGCTTCTATAATAGAGTTCTTGGGTGTTGGCTGGTTTCATGGAATTAGAGCCTAGAGATAATTCCAAGCTAGCTTTGTAAACACTTAATAAAATGATAATTTTTCTAATTTTTTATTTTCTTAATGTTTTCATCATGATGGTTGATGTCAATTACTTGAAGAATTGTCAGCTACTCTTTGCTTCCAGAAAGATGTTGTAGTTAGTACCTAATATTTTTTTTTTTTTTATTTTGGCTTGTTGCTCAATAGTAGAGTTCCTCTTTCTCCTATGTCAATGCGATGTTGATTACATATTTTTGTGGCAGAATGTGGGTAGAGCCTGAAGTTCAAGGGATATCACAGGAAGCAGGGATAAGAGATGAAAATCTAAGGCTAATTACAGAGGGTTGTGATCCTTTAAGAGTAAGTACTAATCCAAATCTATCAAAATTTAGCTGCCATTGAGCTAGTTTGTCAAACTTATTCTCATGCCTGTATCTTTGTTTTTGACAGAAGGCTGTGAAGCGCGAATCGAAGGACATTATAGGGGAAGTTTCAAAGACTCATCATGCCATACAGTAAGAATTTATTTGTATACATTTGATTCTCAGTTTCACCAAGTTAGAGGAAAGTTCATCTTTTGTCTAAATCTGCAATGCAGAACACTGGATAAGACAATTTCAAATTTGGAGATGGAGTTAGCTGCTGCAAGGGCAGCACACGAATCCATAATTAATGGATCTCCCGTTTCAGATGACATAAAAATCCCTGAATCAACCCAGAAAAGAAAATATTTGATGGTAGTAGGAATTAACACTGCTTTTAGTAGCCGCAAGCGAAGAGATTCAGTTCGTGCTACTTGGATGCCTCAAGGTTTGTGGATTTTTCACTGATTTCCTTGCAATTTGATGTGATAAACTTATTGACTATGACTTTTTTTTTCTTTTTTAATTGGAACCAGGTGAAAAAAGAAAGAAGCTTGAGGAAGAGAAGGGCATCATAATGCGCTTTGTAATTGGTCACAGGTGGGTACTTAATGTGAATTTAATGCTGATTTTCCATTAAGTTGACTTCTATTTTCCTTTCCATTATGAAGTCAAGGAATATCTTGATATATAGAAAGGACCTAATTATCAAACTTTTCAATGCAGTGCCACCTCGGGGGGCATCCTTGATAAGGCTATTGAAGCAGAGGACAGAAAGCATGGTGACTTTCTCAGGCTGGTAAAGCACCTTGATTTTGTTTATTAGATTTTTTTTTTATTTTTTTATTTTATCCAACCTAAGCATACATGGAAAAGTTTCTGAAACACCATCTTTATGTTGAATATCTAGGTGACATGCCTAATGTATGCTTTCTTGTTTCTTTAACCTCCATTGGAGCAGGAGCATGTTGAGGGTTACCTTGAATTGTCAGCCAAGACAAAGATATACTTTGCCACTGCTGTTGCTTTGTGGGATGCAGATTTCTATGTCAAAGTTGATGATGATGTGCATGTAAATATAGGTAAAGAAGAATCTATTTATTAATTTTCTTTTCCACCATCGCATGCATGGTTCGAATGAAATATTTTCTCCCCTTCCCCTTTTCCTTTGCACACTTTAGGACATTATACTCTAGGGAATGGATCTTTAGAGTAAATTTTATCTACATAGCAGCCAGACTACTCATGTTTCACTTAGAGCTAAAAATTTTGCAATGACAACTTAAGTGGAATGTAATGCTTATTTGTAATGTGGCTAAATAATGTTTCCTTGATTTAGTACAACTTTGCCAAACACCCTCTAAACATGAAGTCTACTTTTGCAGCAACACTTGGAGCAACTTTGGCTAGACATCGGGCCAAGCCTAGGCTCTATATTGGTTGTATGAAATCTGGTCCAGTTCTTGCTCAAAAGTAAGCTACGAAATGCTCAATGTTTTCTTTTTTATTATTTTAGAGTTTTCCCTGCGTGTTTTGTGTTATTCATTTGGCTATTTTTCCCTTTTTGGCTGTTGATGAACAGAGGAGTGAGATACCATGAACCTGAGTATTGGAAATTTGGTGAGGAGGGAAACAAGTATTTCCGTCATGCTACAGGACAGTTATATGCTATATCTAAAGATTTGGCTTCTTACATATCAATTAACCAGTGAGTTCCCATGCCTCATGGGGCCAACCATTCAACTCATTTATTAATTATCCGCTGCTTATAAGTTATCACATCTGAGATTTATGTTTTTATTTTTATTTTTTTTCTCAGGCATGTGTTGCACAAGTATGCCAATGAAGACGTTTCACTGGGATCATGGTTTATTGGATTGGATGCAGAGCATATAGATGATCGCAGACTCTGCTGTGGTACTGCGGGTAATGTCATGAACTAAGACACAATAGAAATTAGAAAAATGAATGGCTGTTGATTCTAGAAGTACGTGATATGGTCCATAAAGAATGCTGATTAAACTTTTGATGTTTAACATCTACTACAGATTGTGAGTGGAAGGCTCAGGCAGGCAATGTCTGTGTTGCCTCATTTGATTGGACCTGCAGTGGGATCTGCAAATCAGTTGAGAGGATGAAGGATGTTCACCGGAGGTGTGGAGAAGGTGAAAAGTCGCTATGGAGTGCAGCTTTCTGAAAAACCCTACTTCTTCCAAACTCAGGAAGAAGCATATTGATTTCTGGAGCTGTCCAAGGGACGTTTGTATACGGAAAATGTATGTAATGTCATAGAAACAGGAGGGAGGAAAGGGTCCATGCTGCTTTAGTTTCTTCTCCATTTTGTAGGAGGAAGAGACCCCCCAATAGCAGTAATGAGAGAGAGGAAAGTGTTTGTAATTAGTCATTCTTTAATTGATTCCTGTGAGGTATTTTGTATGTCAACTCCATAATTAAGTACCAATATTTATGCTAATATTTTCTTCAAACAAAAGTAATCGAATTAAGACTCAGAACCTAAGTACGTTGGCTTTGGTTCGGATAGCATTGGACTTCTGATTCAGCAAAACAACTAAACAATAATAAAACAAATTACATGTTCTACCATAGCTCATGTATCATATATTTTGTTTTCTGGGCCTTCGAGTGCCTTTTCAGTTAATATTTAAACATATTAATTGATAAAAAAAATTGTTTAATATAAATTATATCATACTATATGATATAAATATTTAATGAGAGATGAGTCACTGGTCTTTTTTATTTAATAATTTTTATTTGATAATTTAATATAATCTAAATTAAAGAATGGTTCATTCTGATTCAATGACATCAGACTTTGAATTATGATTATTCACTTCCTATGTGAGTTACACATTCGAATTTCACGAAATTTTTTTTATTTTATTTTTTAATTAAACTGTAAATAATTGTAATATATTAAAAAAAATTTAAATTAAAAAAAAAAAGAGAAAGGAAAGAAAAAAAATAAAATAAAATTGACTGAACCGGCGGCATATACTGTATGCCCCCAGTTCCCAACCAGAAAACAGACAAAAATTGGTCCAACACGTGTAGTTGTTATGATGGTAGGAAAAATTACGTGGTCATTACCATTTGCCTGCCAAATTTGATCTTTTCTGGGTATCTACCCCCAGCATACGTCTCTCCATGCAATACACGGTTTTCTAGAGCGGGGAAATTTCCATGGCTCTGTTCTCAAACTTCTCCGGCTGTATTTCAGAGTCTTTTGGATCGAAAAAACGTGTTTGCCAAGGAGATGTTTGTGTTCTCAGACAGCCGATGAAAGCTGGGGGGAAGACATTGATGAAGAAGTGGAGGCAGAGGGTTTGAATTTCTTTGGCTTGTGTTTCTTTGAGAAGGTTTCATGCCTTCAAATGCCTTGCAATTAAACATCATGGATGATGGCTTATGCTCATTTCAGTTTTTTGTATCCCTTGTCAATTTGATTCAACGGGGAGATGTAGATGTTTCCGCATGTTGATCGTTGTTTCTGATTTGATGTTTCCAGTTGCCAAATCATGCAGGAAAGAATGTAAACTTCTTCATTGTATCATCTAAATCATAAAATGGTCTTTCTCACAGGCCTTTAATTTAACTATTTAATTAAAGGCCACTTCATGATTTTCATCAGAGGATGACTCTGCTCCTCATGTATACAAAAGTACTACCAATTATTATTGAATTGACGGAAGAAGGGGAAAGGTATCAATACAATTACAGCAGAGGCATCAAAGTCATCTAAAATCTAACCAACTAATTTCTCATCCACTCCTATGTCTAATGTACACTGCATCAACTAGGTCTTCACGTCATTATCCAACCAAGGACCTAATCAATGGATAAAAATTGAAAAACCATTTGTCTGCCCGACTCTTTTTTGAAGATTATAGCTTTGCTCAGATTAATAGATACATGTGTCAGTGATCCTTGTTGGGAAAAAGAAAGATAAGTACCTCATTTCAAAATTATTATCTTCCCCCAAGTCACCTGGATCACCTCTCCTGTGACCGCAAAATATACTCGCAGTGTAGGTATAACCACAGTGAGGACTAAATCTGGCTTAAACTGCCACATTGAGTTCGATTGGCATGCCATCCATCAAGTGTGGCATGGAGTGTGGCATGGAGTGAAATGGCATCCTCACATTTCATGTGCGTGAGTAAAGGCAACCAAAAATTTCACATCCCTGAGACATGAACTAAGGTTACCTTGGGGATGTTTGCAGTTTGTGAAATTTTCTTGGAAGTCCAATTCATACTCAAAGCTGCAAAGCCAGATCAGGTTGCTGGGAGTCCACGAGAACACCTGAAGACTGTTTTGCTGGAGACCCTGGAGATTGAAAATGAATATTCAAGTCAGGAGGAAGTGATTCCTGCTTCTGCCTTGCCTGAGTTTGTGGACTAAGACCTCTCCAAGGGGACTGGACGTGAGACCTAGGCAAGTCACTGGTTACCATTTGTGGAAAAACAATTGGTCGGTTTTGGTACTGAGCTTCTACAAGATGAACAGGTTGTGGTGCAAAAGCCTGTAGGGGAAAACCATTCTTTGGAGACTGAGACGGGGATTGGAAATGTGTCAATGTGGATATAGGAAACTCGCCTCTAACTCTCTGAATATGTGGGTGAACAGCTGGATTATACAATGACTCTACAGATATTTGGCCCTTGGGACTGCTGGCATTTTCAGTGACTTGCTTAAATCCTCCAGCACCTACAGACATCCATGCACGAGCAGCTGCTGCAGCAGCACTGCTTGAATCATCTGATCTTGTAAATGGAACTGATGGCATAGCTGGTGGAGTGTCAGCTCTGGGTTGATTTGACGAATTCTGCTGCTTTTGAGCCCTTTCAGTTAACATCCTCAGGCTCTGAATTGGATCACTAAGACCCTGCTCCTGTCCCTGGGGAAAGTAATTTGCTGCTCTGGCAAGTTGGTTGGTAATTTTTCCATTAGGCAAACTGCCATTACCAACTCCATTATTTTCCACTGGCTTTGAAGGTATAGATTGGCCAGTACCCATATTTCTTGTTACCATCTCTCTTGAACTGGAAACCATTTCTGGTTTATTTGAACCCTGCTTCTTGGCAATAAGATTTGCATTAGCTTGATTGGCAGGGGGTGGCAAATTCAACTCCACTTGCTTTGAAACCTTATTTTCAGTCTCAGCATGCATTCTAGGGGAAAAATTTTTCTGTTGATAAATAGCATTAACAGGGTTACTGGGCTTTGATACACCAGAAGCAGATAATGATGATTTTCCTTCAGAGGGTGACCCACTAGCCACACAAAATGAAGATGAATTCCCTACAGAAACCAGCTCACTAACAAGATGCTCCTTTGCTGGAACAGGCCTCTTATGGCTTAATTTTTCTTTTAGCATATCAGCAGAATGCTGCAACTTTGTAAACATTGCAGATCCTTTCTTGGAACGATTCTCAAGCATTAATACCGGTATGGGAAGTGGCTCATACTCTCCAACCCATCCACGGCCAAATTTACAGCCTGCAGGCACTGCTTGCTCAATTGTCCTGGAGGCAACTTTCCATGCAATAGGACCAAGAGTTGCAGCAAAACGAGCCAGACTCCTAGCATAAGAATATTCTACTTGAAGCCCAACCTGATTCAGAGGAAAAAAAATTAAACAATATGATTTCAGAGGCCATACGATCAAAAGAAGACAGAACTGTTCCTATTTTTATCCTTTTCACATACTGGAATCAGCTGCTTGATTTCACCCTCAAAAGTTGTAAATACTGAGTCTGATCTGACTACAGGTTGATTGGATATGTTGTATGTTGCTCGACGGTTATCATCAAGTACAAGAGATTTCCTCCCAAATTTAGGTAAGAAACCCTTTCCTAAAACAAAGAAGGAAAATCAGAAAGAAACACAAAGTTGCATCATATATGGATCATAGGAAATTTTAGAAATGGAGATAAGTCCAAACACCACTTCAAGTGAAAAACTTCAAATAATCTAGAAAGATCTTAGGACCAAGAAGAACTAAAGTTATATCAAGGAGAACATGAACGTTTCTGTGCTCCAACCCCACATAATCTAGAGTAACTTGTTTAAACATCTAATATCATACCTGCTGATAGTTCTTCAGCCTTCTCTAAATTATTATCAACCAGGGAAGAGTGACCCTCTATAAGCATATCCATAGCACTAGGCTTGTCAAAACCATTAGGTTGGTTGATAATGGATGCATTCTGCATATCTCCAGCAGTGGCAAGAGTGGCTCCTGAAGAGAAATCAGAAGCAACAGGTTCCTGTGTGGTCCTGCCCAAAGGCTTCTTTATTTGCTTCTTCACCAGGAAGTTTGGTTTTGTTTTCTGTTCTGATTTGCTCTCCTTCTCAGAGTGTTCTACATTAATCCTTAACTTCAGAAATTTTTTTGTTGCTAGCTCTTGAATTGCACGTGCCTTCACACAATTATTGGCATGGTTAAATAAAGGAACCAAAAATAATAAGAAAGAGTATATGAATTGGAGAACACAGAACTAAATACCTGCTTGTAATATACAGTATCAGATGCATTGTATTGCATTGCATTTGAGCATATTAGGAAGACGTCACTCTGCATCAAGAAAAACAAATTTTACAAGCCAGTACATGCAAAACCATCATCTCCTTGGACAATTTTTTTTACCAGAAGGATTCTAGTTTAAAAAATTTGAAATTGCTCAGAAGCAAATGCCTAAAGCATAACTGAAGAGAGCTCACTGTAAATAAATTATGTTAAGGTCTATCTATCAACTACGAAAGGAATAATTGCACCATCTGCATAAATGAGCTCAATGGAAGATTCGCAATTTAGCCTTCATTAGAAGCTAACAATTCAGACTCTGGCAAAGACTAATTACTTGTTCTTGACACCAAAGGCTGTGGCAGCATTCCAGGATGAAACCAGCACTCCAATTATGGAATCAGCAACTTGAATGATATAATTCAGATTGTCCAAAAGAAAAACCTCACATTTCAAAGTTGAATGTAAACTACCTGAACCAAATGGCATGAATACACACCTCAAATTGTTCCAAGGTAGAATAGGACCCGTTCCCCAGCTTCTTCCTCACTGTGGCAAAGTCCATGGGATGCTCAATCACGTCATGATAGTCAGGAAGCTACAAAATCCATTATACAAAATAAGAGAGCTGGGACCAAACTCCATCAAATTCTCAACTAAGAACATGCTGAAACTTCAGGATTAAATTCCACATACAACATACCTCCTCAGGATCAACAGGCTCTGCATATACCCCATACGTGTCTTTCCTGCCACAGACATTCCCAAAAACAGAACAACAAATAAGAAACAGTGGAGGAGGCGAGAAAGAGAGAAGTAGGGAGAAACCCGTGACTCACTTTTGAAGTTTGTCAAGAATCAACTCCAGTGTCCTCTTATCCGGCAAAGGAACAACCCCAATTGGAGGATCCGATGGTGTTCCTGATTAGGCCAGAAAATTGAAACAAACCCATCAAATTCCAGATTCTACCGAACAATCAAAACTCAATCAATCAGAAAACAAACCTGGAACCAACTCATTCCCTTTTAATTCTCCCTCCCTCCCTCCTCCCTGTCAAAACATTAGAAAAATCCCACCTTTAGTCTCTGGAGCTCAAAACATTAAAACCCAACTCCAGACATCCAACGCAACTGAGAATAGACAAGAGATGAGGTTTTGGATAGTGACAGGCGACAGAGACAGCTAAAGCAGACATTATAGAGAGAATGTGTTTAAAAGACACAAAATTTATATATATAGAGAGAGAAAGACTTGAGTAAGAGAGAGAAAGGTGGGAGCGTGATCAGATTCTGTTGATGTTAGTTTATGACAGTTGACCCGACCGTTATTTTCTCACAAAATCTTCCCCCCACGCAACACAAAAAAACTGAAAACCCACACAACAAACAAAGACCTAGAGAGAGAAAGAGAAACTGTTCTAGAACCCAAGAACATTTTTTTTTTTTTCCAAATTCCCACTAACTGTGCGTAGCTGTACTCTGCAACTCAGTGCATACCTCCGCAACACAATCATCGTCATCTTCGTCATCATCAACATCTCCACCCTCATCACCACCGTTGATTCTCTTCTTTTTAACCTTCTTCGTATTGGACTCTTCTTCTTCATCATCCTCTTCTCCCTCGTCTTTAATCGCGGGCCTAGTACAGTCGCCACCTCTACCTTGGCTCAGCGACATAGCCTCTGTGGCTGTGGCATCACGGCCCTGGTCGAGCTTGACTACAAGCTTGAGCTTTTTCTCTCTTCTCCTCTCTTCTTCTTCTTCATCCTCCTCGAAACCCTCGTCTAGATAATCATCGTAGTCGATGTTGTACCGCACATTCCGGCGACGGAGACTCCGCCGCGGCTCGGACTCTGGTGCAGCCGCCGGGGAGCTGACTCGCCTTGCCAGATCCGCCTTCGATGGCCTCCCTTTCTTCTTCCTCTTCACGATCTGCTCCATCTCTCTCCAAAACTCTGTGCTTTTCACTTGCTCTTTCTAAAAATCTCTGATTTCTGTCCCTCTGTCTTTTTATTTTTTTACTCTCTCTCTCTCTAATCTCTCTCTCTGCTTTCAATTTTTTTCTTTTTTTTTTCATGGAAGCTTGGCATTTTCGAAAGGTCGAGCCTTGACCCGAAGCTAAGGTTCGGGTGTGAAAATGATTGGATTTTTTTTGTTTTTTCACTTTTTTGGCGCCTTGGTCCTGTGAGAGTGTGTGAAAATTAAAAACAGTGTTGTTGAGTTGGAGCGACGGCGTTACGGGCTGCCCGCTGCCCGCTGCCCGCTGCCCTGTCAGGGTTCTGTGGGTTGCCTTAGGTAAGTATTGTTTAATATATAGAGAAATTACGTGGGGGGTTTGGCGTGTGTATCACACTTCTCTTTTCTGGGCATGGAACTATGATTAAGAAAATAAGATTAAGGGTAATGGCATAGATTTTATTTTATAGAATTTTCTTATGATTAAAAAGATAAATACATGTAATATTATAAATTTAAATTAAATGAAGAAGTTAATTCTTAAATGTTATATAAAATTATATGCCATGTATTATATAAATAAATTGCTTCCAAATTATTTTTTAAAATTAAATCCCAAACAAAGTAGATTTATGTAAATTATTATCCTTTTACAATTTGGTAATAATAATAATAATAATAATTTTTTAGTACTTCTTTTTTTTGGTTGGCTATTTTTTAGTATTTCTAGTGGTATTAACTTTTATTATTATTACCTAAGGTTTTGTTTAATAATATTTTTTAATACTTTAATTCTTAGTTTTTATGTTTTTTTTTATTTTAAAAATATATAAAATGTTAATTAAAATAAATATTAAATATATCTTAGATATTTTTGAAATTTTAAAAGACAAAAAATCTATAACTGCA